AATAAATAAATAAAATATTACATTCAACACATCATACACTTTGTTTCATCTCAATGATTTCAGTCCCCTCCATGTAACAGCAGTGATCCCACTTCCTCCCTGTGCTTCCTAATTCCATTCCACCCACGCTCCCATCCTTTCTCAACTCTGTTCTTACATGAATGTTGCCCTTTTTGATTTTGAATGATTAAAGTATAGTGAACATAAAAAAAAAAAATTAGATTTTCAAGGCTGTAATCTTTATGGACTCAAACTACCACATCATTCTCACACAGAACAATGGGTGGGTTTGAACCACTGACTTTTTGGTTAGCAGTTGAGCGCTTAACCACTGCGCCACAAATATCTCTCTCCAGCTTGCTAGGGAACTGCAACCTCCTAAACCACCCCTCCCCCCCACCAACAGAGAGCTACAAATGGAAAGGCCAAGTACATTTCCCATTTGATGCTCTGAAGGAGAGGTTACACTTTCTCTGCTGGTATCAGACTATCAGAGCAGTGGGCATTTAGTGAACCCTGACAGAAGAGAGCTGACTCTTCCAGAGTCACATAGCTAGTGTGAGGCAGTCTGACAAGAGGCTACCCCCCTCCCCCCGAGACACTCGATGCCTCCCAGGAGAGGGCCACCACTCAGTGATCCCTTAAATAAGGGTTCTCATAACTGCCTTCCAGAGAAACGTTACAACAATGTTACAGGTAGGAGTCATAAGGCTCAGAGAGGCTAAGCAACCTGATTAATGCCACACAGTTCCTTGTTGCTGTTGTAAAGTGGCAGTGAGTCAGTTTCGACTCATAGTAATCCTGTATGGGGTTTCCAAGAAACGGCTGGTGGGTTTGAACTGCTGACCTTATAATTCAAACCGACCGTGTGGTCCACTGCTTATCCTACAGCGCCACACCAGTTCCTGTTCCTACGTGTGCCACACAGCTCTTAGGAGGTGGAAATGTGGATTCAGACCCTAATCCATTGGCCCCAAAGCAAACCATAGAGAAGAGCTCCGGTTCTGGGGCTCCTGAGACTGGGCCCTCCCACCGCGTTCCAAGGAATGGAGTCGTGCTACCTCATAGCCACGTTGCTACCGTCGATCACTATGGGTCTCAGGGCACCCGCAGGGCCTTCGAAGTCCTCTTCTGGGTCTGTCCCCAGCCGACCCTGGATGGAGTCCCGCGGCCCGCAGGAACCCCGAGGGATGAGCAGGGGCCCGGCTGCGCCTCCTGTTGGTCGCTCCTGGGTCGCGGGGTGGCTGCAGGTCTGGATCAACTCCCGCAGCACGTCGTTGACCAGGGCGCCCTGGCCCAGCTTGCCCAGCACCCTGACCACGTCCTCCTGACCGTAGCCCAACTTCTGGAAGAACTCCATCTTGGCCGAGGGCTCCATGCTCGGCGTGCCGTGCCTCAGGGGCCCTGACCCCGACTTCTGGCACTCTGAGTCCGGCAGGCATGTGCTAGAAAGAGAAATCAGCCATCAGATGTTTAATGCGAACGAATGATGTGCTCACACCCCCTTCTGGATCATGAATTGCTCGGTGTGGTTGGGGAAACGCACCTGCAATCACGGGAATTTACTAGTGTAGTCTCCACACTCAGCCCAACCCTGGTGGAATCTCCAGAGCCCCAGGGACCCGACCAAACTGGCTCTGCCAAGACAAGGTCTTCCTAGCAGCTTCACTGAGCAGCCCTGACCTCCCCATCAGGGCGCTGCAGCCTGGCCGACGGGAAAAGATGATGAAACCAATTGGAGCCCACTGGGGAAACTGAGTCCTGTTTGTTTCCCACCAGAAAAGACCTCTCTCGTTTCAAAAGCATTTTAAAATACAAACATAATGAAAACTGGGAAATTCAAACAATGCAGAAGCATAAGGAAGATCTAATACCTCTTCCCATGCCCCCAAAGCCCACTTGCTCCTACTCCTACCCGCCCTTGTGTGCATCCCTCCAGCCCTGTTCGTATACATTTTGTTGTTGTTGTTAAGTGCCTTCAGTCAGTTCCCCCCATAGCAACCATCTACTTGCATTTAATAGACACACTGCCAACAAAACAACTCTGACTCATAGTGACTCTGTGTTGTTGTTTAGTATCGTTGAGTCGGTTCTGAGGAGTGGCTGGTGGATTTGAACTGCTGACCTAGTGGCTAGCTGTCCAGTGTTTATGCTACAGTGTTACCCCAGGACTCCTAGAAACCATATAAAGAGCGGCCAGGAGTCATGACTTTCCATGAGTCCTGGTGGGGTACTACAGGGTAAATACTGGAAACCCTATACAAGGTCACTAGGAGTCAAAACTGACTCAATGACACTTAACAACAACAACAATGTTGTTTCTTGGAGTCTTGGTGTGATCCTGTAGGATAAGCACTGGATTGCTAACCACAATGTCAGCAGTTCAAATCTCCCAGCCACTCCTTGGAAACCCTATATGAGGTCACTATAAATAAATCAGAACTGACTTGATGGCAACTTAACAACAGCAATGTTGTTCCATATTGTGGCAAAAATGTTGCTGTTAAGTGCCACTGAGTCCGTTCCGACTCAGATTGAACCTGTATAGGATTCCCAAGGAGAGCCTGGTGAGTTTGAACCACAGACCTTCCAGTTCAAACGGACCTTGTAGTCTAATGTTTACCCTATAGGGCCACAAAAAGAGATACATAACAAAACATTGACCAACTCAACAATTTTCACACTTATAATTAATGATATAGCATAGTCATCATGTTGTGTTAACTATAAACACTCCCTTTTTCAAATTATTCCACCATAGAGTGGATTTTGTTGTTGTTGCTAATTATTTTTACATAAATGATGTCATGTTGCTTTCCTTCCTAAATCAGGATTTTGGAAATCTTTCCATGACAACTTAACTGTTCTGCTGCCCACTGTCGCCCCAGGAAACACATGAAATTCTATGCAAATGCAGGACTAGTGTTCTTCAGTAGTTAACTTTATGTCACACAAAGGGGTCTTAGGCTGTTTGCCATTTTTCACTGTCACAAATAATGCTCCGTCAACATGCTGGTGCATCTAGCTGGTACCTCGTCTTCTAAGAAGGACCGCTTGTTTACCTCCAGGTCTATTCTCCTGTTAGAATCCTCTGCAGCATTCACATCCCTCTTCTACAGACCCAGTTCAGCTTTCCGATCTCTTGTGGGGCCTCTCCCAGAAGAGGAGTAACAGCAGTGAGCTCTGACCTGGAAGATCCGGAGTCTCTGTACCCGCCTTCATCCACTGATGATTCCCACCATCACGCAACACCAAGACTGCCCTGAGGTCACAGGGCTCTTCGAACTGCCCAACCCAATGACACCTTCACATTCTTCACCCTATACAACGGCTCCCTAGTGCATTCTTTTACATTTTAAACTGCCGTGCTGTCCACTTGTTGAAACTCTTCTACTGTAGGTTGTATATTTCCTTAACCTCTGCTCACTCCTTCAGTGGTGGGGTTGTGCCCAGCTCTTGTCCTCTTCTCTCCACCCTCAGCCTCCCCCAGCCTCTGTTTCTGATGAGCATCAGGCACATGGTCAGAGATCTGTGAGTTGAATGCCACACTCCCTATTTGTATGAAATGCTATGGGAACCCAGAACACTTTCATTCCGCAGACATTGCACAGCATCTACTTCAGTGGTCCCCAAAGTGTGGTCCAAGAGCCGTTGGCAAACTCCACGAGAACTTTCAGGGAGGGTGTGAGGTAACAAACCATTTTCATCACACAACTAAGATGCTGTTGGAGTCCTAGTGTGGTGATAAGCACTCAACCATAAGGTCAGTTTGAAACTAACAGTCAGCTGTTCAAATTCACCAGCCCCTCCTCAGAAACCCTATTCAGGATGGCTCTGAGTCATAACCCACTCGATGGCATTTAACAGGATGTCGTTTGCCCTTTTCACTCTTATTCTATCACGAGTACACAGTGGGCAGCATGTCATGTGATAAGGCAAGAGTTTGAGTACAAAAGCTGATAGGAGAATTCCTCTGTCTCCTATGAAGCCAGACAGTGAAGAGACTGCCAAAAAAAATATAAATAAAAACTAACTGTTTTGTTTCATTTTGGAATATAATTATTTTCATTTAAAATATCATTTATGTTCATGTAGTTGATGCATTATTCAAATAAATGAATTTTTCAAGTTTTTCATTAAAATTTTTAATAAGGTACACATTGCTAACATAAACAAAAGGTCTTTGGGGTTCTTAACCAAAAAGTTTGTTCTTAAATGTCTAGCAGCACTTCCAACATGTTTTTCCTTGTAGATGATTCCATATTGGCAACCTGCAGCCTGTCACCTTTCTTCCAGGTCCCCAGTTCAGAAAACCCTGTGTCTTTCCCTCCCTCCATCTGCCCTCTTTCAAATGCTTCTCCTACTACCCACCTGCCCCACCTAAGTCCAGGCCATATATACCCAAACATCCCAATTATATCCATACAGTCCATATATAATCAGACATCCCATATATACCCATACATCCCATATATACCCATACAGCCCATATATACCCATTGTTATTGTTGTTGTTAAATGCTGTCGAGTTGGTTCCAACCCATAGTGACCCTGTATAGGGTTTCCAAGGAGCAGCTGGTGAGCTTGAACTGCTGACCTTGCAATTCAAACAGCTTTGCGGTCTGGCATATTAACCCACAGCACCACACCAGGACTCCATGCATCCCATATAGACCCATACAACCCGTATATACCCATACAGCCCATACATACCCATACAGCCCATATATACCCATACAGCCCACACATACCTAATTCATTGCAACAACCTCCCAAGGAGTCACCCTTTCTCACTTTTATCTAACCCATCCCCATGGGTAGCCTGCATTGTGCTTCTAATATAAGTCCAACTCTGTCACCCCTCTACTTAGAAACATCCTCTAATCTTTTGTTGACTACAAGAAAGTAAGTAATCAAAGACAGTACTCATTTGACCTAGCCTCGATGGCTTCATAATCAGAACTTGACTAGAGGAAAATTACCAAAAAAAAAATTTAATAAAAGAAACAAAAGTAAATTGCTACAATTTGATGAACTTGACCTATACTTATGGAGGTAGTAACTCTAAATACCAACAGAGAGGAAAGGAGTCTTCACATCAAGTATCAATGCTATCCCCTCTGTTCACAGGGTAGATAGGGACGGGCAACTTAGACAATGGCTACCTAAAATGAGGGGTGATAAAGGCATGAAGTGACTGGCTTACAAGGTTTCAAGAGGGAGTTTAAGAGTATGGGGAGGAAGAAAGAGTCCCCACTGAATAGTTTTCATCTTGTCTAGATGGGTCTGGTGAAAAGAGATGGTGATAAGATCCGTATGATTCAATAGTGAATAATTGTTATCATGACTAATTGAGACTGTCACAATTGTAAAGGTAGAAGTTTTATAACAAAAACAGGGGAGTGATTAATCTTACAGTCCAGAAACTGAGGACCCTAGGACCATCAAGGCAGAAGAGCACAAGCAGAATGTGTGACCTTACCCAGAGAAGCAGCCACGCCAGAAACAGAGGCAGAGATGGGGTCATTGAGAGGGGGAGCAGCTGAGGACTCTAGATTCATGGGAAGAGAGGGACTAAGAGCTGGTGGCCAGGAGGAAAACCTGCAAAATGTGTCCTTTGGAGGTTTAAATTATTATATATGCCTGAGTGTTTTTGTGTTGTTGTTTTTTTAATAAAAAGTTAAAGTGAATAGAGAGAAATACTGTTAACTGATGGTACATGGAGGGGATTATAATCATTGTAATGAAACAAAGTGCATGATTTGTGGAGTGTAAAACTGATGATCTGCCCTGTAAACTTTCACTCAATCCACAATAAAAACCTTTAAAAAAAAAAAAAAAAAGGAAAGAAATCAAAGACCTGGGCAAGGTATTCTGGGCCTTGTCCACCTCACTACTTACCACTGCCCACGTGGTCCTTTCTTTCTCTAGAATCTCGCTGAATCTCTCACTGTTCTCTAAGTACTGAGTATTCCAGAACATTCTCATTGCCATGTTTCTGCATAGGCTTTCCTTACTACCTAGAGTGTTCTTTTTCACTTGGTAAACTTCAAGATTCATGTCAAAATCAGGCCTGACTCCACAGAGAGAATGTTTGTTGGCTTTGTCTTCATCTACCACAATACTTTTATGACACGTTGAATTGTCAGTTGTCTGGTTCTTATGAGACTCATGATTTCTGAGCTATTTGCCTTGGACTCTCCAGCACAGCATCTCATCTGGTACCTGATGTATCTGAGGAACTTAGTATGTTTTTCTTTAATAAATGTCGGAATCTGACATTATCTTTCTTCCACAAGTATTTTGTTTCCTTCCATTCTGAGTCTCATTGAATGGCATCACCCAGAGGTACAAATAAGAAATTTTGATTGATTTAAA